ACGGTGGCTCTTGCTTGAAATCCCAGCTACTTGGAGGATGAGGTGGGAGGATTGCTTGAGCTCAGGAGTTTGAGACTGCAGTAAACTATTTTTGTACCACTGCACTCTAGCATGAGCAACAGAGTGAGACCCTGTCTCAAAACAACAACAACAACAACAACAAAAACCCTTATATAGAGAGATGCTGAAATTCTGTTAAGCTTTCTTTAGTTTTGTCTATATTTCAAAACACTGACTTTCATTCTTTGGAATCTGTTTCCCAGAAGACTGTCTTCAAACTTTGTGCTTGAATAAACTCTTTAAACTAGATTCTGACCTTTTTTTGACTATTTTAAGTTGGCAAAATGGATAGCCAGATGAAGAGTTACATCTTTATCCCCTGGAGCTGTTCCTGAGCTGTTTCAGGAATCAAGGACAAAAGGCCAAATATTTTTACAAAAAGATACTCTTATTATTTTAGTCACTTAGGAAATTATAATGGTTATAGGAGCTGTGAGTCAGAAACAGTGAGAGAAAACCAAAAAATACATATCATAATATTACACAGGGCATGGTGACTTCATAGTAGTTGATCTTTTTACATGGTGACTTTAAGGATCCAAGAGTGAAAATTCCAGAAAACAAGGTGGATTCTGAAAACCTTGTTCTAATCTAGCCCAGAAGTCATGCAGACTTCTGCTGTACTCCATTGGTTGGTGCAGTCACAATCCACACAGATTCAAGGGGAAGGTATTTAGATCTCATCTCTCAATGAAGGGCGCCACAATGAAATTGTGTCACTATGGGCACAGCTATTTAATGGGACTGGCCCATGTGGAATCCTTTGCTACTCAGCTTTTAATTTAGTTTTTTCTCCTCTACAGATACCACCTCAGTTTTTAATATGTGAAACTTCTAAGGAAGTTCTAGACAGAGGAATGAAGGGGTGCAGGAAAATTCATTCAGAATATGGTGTTTTGCCTCAAGGTCTCTCCTAAACTGCTTCTTCCCCTTATTAAAATTATCCATTACAGGAAAGGAGCTTCAGACCTGGCCCAACCATTTTACAAAATAATGTGTGTCTCAGGTTCATCCAACTTCCAAAAAGAACTATTTACAAGTCATTCTCTGTTTCCCTTATCCATTTATCCTCCCAATCTTTTGTTGCCCCTCAATAAAATTCTTCTTGCTCCCCCTTCTATAACCTGTTTTTATCAGAATGCAGGTCCCCATTCTTTCTGTAAATTCAAGATGGTATTTAAGTTTCTGTACCTCATTGGGAAGTTAAGTCTTCATTCTGTGTACACATTAAATAAAATTTGTATGCCTTTCTTCTTAAAAAATAGTAATTGTAAATAAAAGTTGTCACTGGGGGTCTCATAACTTCTTAGAATTCTCAGGAATCTTTTGGGACCAGGTTCATGTCTCAGATTATTTCTGTATGGTACAAGGCATCCTGCCAAATTTGAGTCTTCCAGAAGTCAAGGCTTAAATGGGGAGTTTGTAGACTGTAGGGCTAACTTTGTGATACAAAGGCCTTCTTCCTACCAAAATGTATAGTTGGCCACAGCAGTTTAGCACGTCTCTTCTGTATTCTCTTCTTTTGGAACTGAGAGTGTTTAATTTTAGATCTTCTTCTGGTTCTCTCTGCTGGTCATAGTGAGGCAGTCAGAGTTAACACAGTAGTTAGGCAGATTTTCTCTGGCAGGTCTAAATTAAAGTAGAGTAAGTGTTCAGACATCTTTCTTATCCACGCATGACCTTTACCCGACCAACCAGGCATATCAGACCTGACCACCTTGGAGGCTGGAATGTGGATCTACCAGTACAGTAAGTCACAGAAACAATAGGGAATTACCCAAAATGCATACAGGATGTTCTAAGAAAAGTCTATATCTTGTTAGGCAATAACTTTAGTTATTTAGAATGTCCTTGTGACATTATAAGGTTGAGAGATGGTCATCAAAACTCATGACCAGATACCTGTAGCCCACTCCTCTTAGCTCATGGTTTGCTTGATCATCATCATAAAAGTATATAAAGCTTCTTGTCTCAGAAAGCCAATTTGTTAAAAAAAAAAAAACCTGTAAAAAAAATTTAAATATAAAAATTTTAAAATTATATAAAGCTTCTTGTCAAAGGCAAGCACATGTCCTTTCTCTTGAGGCACCCATGCTCTTTGAGCATGTCTCTTTCTTCCTAATAAATTCTGTCTTAAACTATAGTTGGGACTCACTCTGAAACTCTTTTCTGTAGTGGAGACAAAGAACCCATGGAATAACACACCGCACCCAACCCAGCATCAATAGGTTATTGTTATCTTCTTTCTGATACACAAATCTTATTTGTGTACTCCCTGTTCACAATCTTTTAAGATTCTCTATCAGCTCCAAGATGAAGTCCAAGGTCAACAGAATAAAATATAAGCCCCTTTATAATCTGGTTCTGACCACTGAAAACTCAGATTCTATGCTATAGTCTAAAATACGAAAAACAGTATAGTATAATTGAGTTCAAATCTCAGCTCTGTAGGCCTCATTAATTTCCTGGGATGAAGGGAGGCCCTTTCTTCCCTCAGTTGAGAACAGTCCACAACAAAAATGGCCCAGTTTCCACTGGTTTCTCTAGTTAGCCACCTCTTGAGCGCCCAAGCCTGTAGACGGATTCTAACTTGACACTAGAGTCAATGATCTCCTTTGACTCTTGACTTTATATACATACCAGTTCAGAGGTCCTGATTCTTAACCCTCATGGTGAATTTTCAGGGGCCTTATCCTTTCAAACAGTCTGTCTGCTCTTAGGGCCTTCTAGTTCATCACACACATTTTAATAACTCAATCTCAAAGCAGTGAAAAAGGGATCAAGAGGTCCTTTTGGTCAGAGTCTCCTTTGTGTCTCTATACATTTTATTTTTTCTGAGTTGGAGTCTCACTCTGTCACCCAGACTGGAGTGCAGTGGCCACTCCCGGCCACCGCAGCCTCGACCTGCTGGGTTCCAGTGATCCTTCTGCCTCAGCCTTCCAAGTAGCCAGAATTACAGGCATGCACTACCATGCCCGGCTGATTTTTTGATTTATTTTAGAGATGAGGTCTCGCCACCCAGGTGGGTCTCGAACCCGCGGGCTCAGGCAATCCACTCACCTCAGCCTCCCAAAGGCACGGGATTACAGGCTGAGCCACCGAGCCCAGCTTCTATACATTTTTTAATGTTTAACTCAGCATCTAAGGTCCATATGGCAATCAATATGTGTGTCTGTCACAACTTCACCTGTTTACAGAACCCGAGTCCAGGTCCTCATTTAGCTAAAACATCCTAGAACATCTACATTCAGTTTCAGGTGATTCCTGGATCCCTTGAATTAGGGTTGCTGATAAAATACAGATGTCCAGTTAATTTTTTTTTTTAATTGAGTTGGAGTCTTACTCTGTCGCCCAGGCTGGAAAGTTGTGGCACACTCACGGCCACCCTAGCGTCGACCTGCTGGGCTCTGGTGATCCTTCCCCCTCAGCCTTCCAAGTAGCCAGAACTACAGGTGCATGCTATCATGTCTGGCTAATTTTTGATTTAGTGTGGAGATAAGGTCTTGTCAAGTTGCCCGGGCTGGTCTCGAACCCATGGGCTCAGTCAATCCACTCGCCTCAGCCTCCCAAAGTGCTGGGATTACAGGTTAAGCCACAGAGTCCGGCCTGGTTAAATCTGAATTTCAGATGAACGACAAATAAGTTTTTAGTATAAATGCATCCCCTGCAATATTTGCTTGGATAATTATGCATTTTTGTGGGAAAGGGATCATGTTTCAAAAGAGTAGATGTTTAAGAACTGATTCAAGATTTGCTGAACGAATTGTTGCACCTGAGAGAGTTGGAAGGTGTGTATGAAACTATATTTATATTTAAAACTATTTGCTGGTTATCTGAAATTAGAATGTAATTGGGCATTTGTAATTTCTTACTTGCTAAATCTGGCAACCCTATCTTAAGGCCAACCATATCTTTCCTAGGTTCATGGATAAGGCGTAAGAATTGATATAGTCTGAGAAGGACTAAGTGTGTTTCTTTTCCTTTTTTGCCAAATTATTTAACCACAACACTAAAATACCAAGGAGAAGGCTAGCCTGAAAGAACTCCTTCCTTTAGCTCTAAATATGAGGAGATTACTATTGTTGTCTTTAGGATTACACTTTTAGAGTAACTATGAGATTGACAGTGTCACCAACAATAATGGCCAATAATTTCCTTGTTAAATTCCTAGAACAGAAAGATGCTGCATCAAGTTCTCAAAATCATTGACTTAGAAAATTAAATTACTTAAATAGCAGATGTTTAGGCTGAGGAAGGAAAAAAAATGGAAACAATTACTGCTACTATTCAACAATCCCTTGACGCTACGGATTACAACTCTGGGAGAAAACTGAAACTTTCATTTCTATTAAATTTTATCATAGCCACCACTTAGTCTTTGTTTTTCCACTGTTTGTAATTCCATAAACAAGCTAACCTTCCTACCAAGTTCTTTTAGCGCAGATGTTCTTTATTCGTAAATTTTATTTGGATAAAGGCACATGGTAAAAAGTTCAAACAGTGCAAAGGGTTTACTGTGAAAAGTAAATCTCCCATCGTGACCCCTAGTTCCTGGACCGCAGGGTCTTCACTTGGCTTAAGGACCGGAGTCTAAGGATTTTTGGAGTAACCTGAATTCCCTGACCGCATACTTTTCGGTGTACGGGTAAGTGAGTACGTTAGTGGGGAGGAGATCCCAACTTTTTACCTGAGCTTCGAAAGGGTCCTCATGCCAAGACTTGCTGAAGGAACCGATGCGTCCGAATGACTCGGAACGGGGGACAATATTCTGTAAAAAACTGCCCCTGGGTAAAAAGTCTACCCTCTGCTAGCCCACTCGCAGGTCCCCCAGAAAAGTGCGTTCCCCGTGGGGGGGCATCGGCGCTTCCCAAGTTTTTAGCCTGCCGCATTCCCTCCCTCCAGCGCGACGGCGTGCGCTGACGTCATGACGCCACACACGCAGTCCCGCCCCTGCGGAGATCGGCGCTGGGACGAAACCCGGGTTCCTCTCAAACCCGGAATGTGAGGCTTCGGCCTGGCATTTGCTGCTCACTCTCTCATCTTCACTCGGGCCTACGTCTGCTGTCGCTGTCCCCAGCTCGTCCCCGGAGCAGCCGGGGCGGCAGTGTCCTTCTACTGTGTGCCCGCGTGGCTGCCGCCGCCCCTCCGAATCCTCCGGGGTCGCAGAGGAGTTCGCTACGGAGGGAGGCGGGGGCCTTCGGGAGGAGGAGGCGGAGGAGGCGGAGGAGGAGGGAAGGAAGATGGCGGCGGTGGAACTAGAGTGGATCCCAGAGACTCTCTATAACACCGCCATCTCCGCCGTCGTGGACAACTACATCCGCTCCCGCCGAGACATCCGTTCCTTGCCCGAGAATATCCAGTTCGATGTTTACTACAAGGTATGGACCCTGGGCCTGCTGTCTGATCTCGGCTGTCCTCTCGAAACCCCTGTAGCCGCACCCCCTTCCACGTCTGCGAACCCCCGCTGTTAAACCCTCACCCCTTCCGAGCAGGATCGCCTTCCGAGATGTCTGTTGCATGTCCCCCTTGCTAGTATAGAAACGCCCTTGCTCCACATCCCCTGGGCCTTGATATATCCTCCTGATGAGTCTTGCCTCATTTTGCTGTTCCCTTCTACACTGTGGCCCCCTCTTGGTTAGTAGGCCTTTTGCGTGGACTTCCTCTGTTGCGCCCCTGTCCCACCCAGTCCTTTCCTTCTTGCCTAAACCTGCAGGATATTTTCCACTCTCTCCTCCCAATTAAGTGTCAGCATCAACTGGACTTTTTTCTCTTTTCCTCCCCCACCCCTTTCTACTTTCTCATCTCCTGCTTTCCTTCTCCTAGTGTTTTTTTTTTTTTTTCTGCTTCCTGTTCCTTCCTTCCTCCTTTCTCTTCCCAGTCGGGAGTAAGAATTATTGGAAATAGTCTGTGTGCTTTATTTGCATATTATTTAAAGCTTTTTTTGGTTTGTTTGTTTATACTTGAGATTGAATTGGGGACTTTATTAATGTGGGAGTGTTGGTCAACTGTTTGGAGAGGGGAGAAATCGTTCCTGAAAGAAATTATGTTCATGCATTTGAAAGTTGCAATTTTGCAACATTCCTAATGCGCTCCCCCTCAAAAATCTGAACAAAACGTCTCCATAGTCACTCTCCAAGGAATTTCAAGGGTAAGTGTCTTCAGACGTGGACTATTTTTGCAGTGTTTTGAGAGGGAGGAGAGCTTTATGGACTCAGAGTCTGCCTTCTTCTCCCCCAATATTTGAATGTGAACACTGGGTTTATTATTTAGCTCTCCTTGCCCTAAATCCACATATAACTCCTACTTTCCAGCGGCCACCCATGCAAAATATGGCTAGAAGTAGAGTATAATTAATTTTTTGATCTTGAATACTTCCTCTTGATTTGTTTGTTGGCTGGAACAGTGTAAACTGATATTTGACAGATGTGTATGTTCTTATATGTGGATGGTGTTTTTTTGTTTTGTTTTGTTTTCAGCCTTTATTCTATGGATGGTGTTTTATGGCAGTTGTTTCATTGGTAAGATTGCCTGCGTTATTCATCCGCAGAATATTTTTTTCAAAATTAGCTGATTGGGCTGCATTTGACTAAATTCAACTCCTTGTACCAATTCTAACAGAGTAGGATTTTTTCCCCCCCGAAATATTTGGAGACAATTCATTTAGGTCATGCATATCATTATTATCTTTGGATTTAGAGGCAAACCTCCCTTCATTCCTAATCCCTTTGATACACTGATTTGCTTTTGTGGTATCTAAGGAGATTTTGTACATTTAAGATAACATTCCTCCCCAGGAGACAAATGAGACTTGTCTTTCTCAGCCTGGGAAACTGCTGGCTTTGTGTATACTATCTCTGTCCATTTTATTAAATCATATAAATACACATATCTTATGCATACATAACATATCCTGTACACTTCTTACAGGAAGTTATTGGGAATTTAATCAAAGTATATTTTTACTGGTGGAATACTCAGAATACTTGGATATCTTCTAGTAGTTTTCATTTCCAATTGAAGCTTTTCATTTGAAGATTATTAGTGAGTATGAACAGATGGTGCTTTTGTCACTTGTTTCACATAGTTCACACAGTTTTAACATTGCTTCTTTTTGGTAGACTTTTTCTTCTTAATAGTTGTATGCTTATTGGGAGTATGGCATTGTGCAAAGGTGAAGGAAGGTATTTAACATGTGACTGGAACTGTGTTAAGTGCTTTTACATGTATTACATATGTTATCCTGTTTAAATCTCACAGTTAAACTGTGAAGTATAGTACAATATAACTCTGCTTTATAGTTGAGAAAGTTAAGTGATTTAGTTAAGGTCTCAAACCTAGTATATATTTCCTGAGTTCCTTGCTTTTTTGCTTAGTAAGATTTGTATGTTAGGAGAGTAGATCATTTTAATGAAATATATTGCAGAACTCGTTTTTTATTGGGTAGAAGGAGAGTGGAAGTCAATCCCAGGAGTCTGTTCTAGTCTTTAATATAATGGAGATATAAAAAGAAATTTTCTTCCTTTAAAAAATTAAAAAAAAAAATAGAGACACATTCACTATGTTGCCTAGGCTGGTCTCCATCTCCTGGGCTCAAGTGATCATCCTGCTCAGCTTCCCCACTAGCTGGAACTACAGGCATATACCATCATTCCCATGTTTCTTCCTTTTAAACACTATGTTAGCATATAAATATAAGAAAGTTTTTAAAACAATTTAAATACACATGAATACAAGACACTCATCTTCTGCCTGGCTTGTAAAACTTTAGGAGAATTTCTGTTTACGATTTCCAGTATTCACCACTTTGGAGCCAAAAAGAAACTCATAATCAGATCTCTTCTGCAGTCTCAACTTCCACCAATAGGCATAATTATAGACAAAATTGCAGTATTTGTGGAATCATAAATTTCTCTATCCTTCTTAATTGGTGTAGTCCAGTGTGATTGTGTTACATTTTGTAATAGCTTCAGATGACAGCACAATCATAAAGCATTAGAATAAGGGGTTATGGGAATAATAGAAGGGAAGGGAGGAGGGGTTGAGAAGTAGAAAGAATAAAATATGAAGTGTGTGTGTGTGTGTTTTTTTTTTTAAAGAATGGAAGACATTAGGATATATTTGTTGGCTGAATGGCAGAAGCCAAGAGAGTGAGATTGAATATACAAGTGAGGCAGGAAATAAGTTATGGAGCAAGGTCTCTGAACAGGAGCATTAATTAATGAGTCCTGCCCCTTTTTGGTCCTTCCTCCTTGACTGTGCATAAATTAAGATATTAGTTTTAAATTGGAGTAATCATCCTGCCTCAGCTTCCCCACTGGCTGGGACTACAGGCATGTACCACCGTTCCCATCTTTCTTCCTTTTAAACACTATGTTAGCATATAAACATAAGAAAGTTTTTATTTTAAAGATGTGGGGTACAATGCAGGGTAGATATACAAATGTTCATTATATAGGTATCCTTGTTGATGAGGTATGTCCCTCCCCCCCGCAGTTTCTCACCATTGCCTATCCCATCCCCTCTCCCCTGGCAGTTTCCCACTTGAGGAAATAATACTTCTAATATCAGAAGAAAAGAGTTAAAGAAATAAGTTATCAGTACAGGTAAGTTTGCATGGAATGATTGTCATGAATTAGGAGGTGAGATTATTTGCTGAGGGTAAGGGATAAGAGTGGTAGCTTTTATGTAGGAAGGCTAAACAGAAGTTGGAAATGGCTACTGAGGTATATGAGAAGGGAAGCTAAAAATATATTTAAAAATTGACAGTGGGTTCATTAGAATTTAGTGTCCTACAAAATATAGTCATGTGGCACTGAACGATGATGGTAGGTTCTGAGAATGCATTGTTAGATTTTGGAGGGTTTTTTTTTTTTTTTGTCCTTGAGGGACCATGGAGTGTGCTTACACAAACCTAGATGATACAGCCTACTGTGCACCTAGACTACATGGGGTAGTCTATTGCCCCTAAGTTACAAACCCTCACAGCATGTTACTGTACTGAGTACTATAGTCAATTTTAACATAATGGTAAACATTTGTAACTAAACATAGAAACGGTACAGTAAAAATGTGGTATAAAAGATTAACAGTGGTGCACCTATATAGAGCAGTTACCATGAATGGAGCTTGTGGGTCTGCAAGTTGGTCTGGGGGAGTCAGTGAATGAGTGGTGAGTGAACGTGAAGGCCTAGGACATCACTTTATAAATACTGTACACTTAAGCTGCTCTAAATTTGTTTTAAAAATAAAGCAATTGCACTACAACATCACTAGTCAATAGAAATTTTTCAATTCTATTAGAATTTTATTGGATTACCTTCATATATGCAGTCTTTTGATGACAGAAATGTTATGTGGCACTTGATTGTAATGGCTTGGATTCTGAAAGGTTTTTTTCTTCAAGGGCACTCAGCTATTTGGTTACAGAAGTAGATATGGTGGAGTGAAAGAATTGTAAACTAGGTTTGGTAGTCCCAGCTACTGAGGGGTCTGAGGCAGGAGGATTGATTGAGCCCAGAAGTTTGAGATTGTAGTGTGCTAGCTATGGTTGCACCTGTGAACAGCCATTGTATAATACTCCAGCCTGGACCACACAGTGAGACCTTATCACTTTAAAAAAAAAGAATTGTAAAGCTGTATACAGGCCGGGTGCAGTGACTCAGGCCTGTAATCCCAGCACTCTGGAAGTGGAGGCAAAAGGATTGCGTGAGCCCAGGGGTTCGAGACCAGCCTGGACAACTTGGTGAGCGGTCATCTCTACAATGCATCAAAAAATTAGCTGGGCATGGTGGTACTCTCCTGTAGTTCCAGCTATTTGGAAGACTGAGACAGAAGGATCATATGAGCCCAGCGAGTTGAGGCTGTAGTGGCTGTGGGCGTGCTACTGCACTCTAGCCTGGGCAATAGAGTGAGACTCCAACTCAAAAAAACAAAACAAAACTGTATACAAAGTGAAAGAGCAAATAGAGTGAGGGACTGGGTTCATATATAGAGCTCTTAGGCTCAATAAGATGAGAACTCAAACTTTATGGGAGAGAGGGACATAAAACAACATAAATAACATTCTTTAAAAGTAATATGTTACTAATTTGTCAGCCTATCTCAGTTTTAGCTGTGACGTTATCACAAATTGAATCAGAATCTCAATTTTATTTGGTATAGGAAACTGATTAAATGTTAAGTTCATCTGGAGCAATTAATTACCTGAGAATAAATGAGCCAAGGACATTTTGAAGCACAGCGTTTAAGATAAAGTATATTAGAAAGCTATATTTTAAAAGTTTTTTTAAAACTCTCATTTTTTGTTTTTTTTCCTGTTTGCATGATTGCAGAATAAAAAGTTACATATTTTAAGACTGTAGTATTGCTACAAGAACAG